ATTCTTATTCTAAAATCATTTGTCATACACAAATGGTGAATGGGATTTGTTAAGCGACACAAAAATATTAATATTAATATCCTATTTACCGTGAACGCTAAACATCTCTTTGATAAGAAGGAAAAAGTCATTGTAACATTGAACCTTAATCGATTAACTGAGCGACGTTTAATTAACGTCGCTATCTATATAGCGCGATAGTAAAACAACAAACATACGTGCCGCATTTACATAAATAATTATCTTTTCTTATTGCGCGACCTTATAACAATCATTATAGGCCGCTTTTGCGCTCGTTAACAAATGCTGATGATACTCGGGGCCCAATTTTCGTTTAAAAAGATCTCACGTCAACGCAACATCAGGCCTCAATGACACGCTTCAATGACTTCTTTAATATGCACAGTGCCTGCTACTGTCATCATTTTGCTTGGCTCAAGTCTAATCACGCACAAGTGTGTTCGACGTCGTAATAAGTAACATCTTGACTGTTTCGAGCGTCGAAGTGCGCCAGTTGTGGGAGACACTCGAAATCAATATAAATACGATAAGGTGGAGCTTATATAAAAAAAAAGGAAACAAAAGTGTATCACCTACTTCCGATAAACGGATTCAATCCCGACTCCCGCCTGACGATGATCGAGGGGAATCCGGTGACGTAAACGATGCCGCCGTCGATAAAGGTCGAGTGCGGCGCGAGGACCAGAATCGGGGCTTCCGTTCTGGAAGCCTGCCTTCCTCGTACTACGATTTTCATCCCGCCGGCCTGGTAAGTCAGTCGGCCAACGAAACATATCCATGGCACTAATTTTCTGCGGGTGTCAACCGACAAGCATACATGCAAATGGAATTACTCGGGAATGGCCCTATTAAATATTCAAGTGTCGCAGCACCGATGAAGACGCGTCCGTGTCGCGATCGTCGATGGTATCGTCGTAGAGAGAGAGGGAATATCGTATATGAGGATCGTATATTTAATACTACCACTACTACTTCGTACTACGAAAGAGAGAAACGCGTTTACGAGCAAGTACGTCCGATGCACTTTCTACGCACGATCGAGCGATGGAGAGAAAAAGGGACAAAAAAAAAAACGGTGAAAGCATCCGATTAGTGACCCAAGTTTCGACGATTAGTTAGTATGCCTCGCAGAATTTAAAA